GTGACTCTAGAGGATCCCCCGTCGCGAGTCGCGCGCTTCGACGCACGAGCGAACCGCCGCCGCGTCCCCCGCCTCGCCCGCCGCCGCGCTGCGCGTCGCGCCACATCTCGACCCACGTCCGGGACTGTACGCGAGTGTACCACGGGACTGTACGCGAGCTGTCGGCCTCGTCGTCGCGTCTTCTCCGGAATTCGTCAAACGACGTCCCTGGCCAGAGCCACCCGAGCGCGTCGACGACGTCGTCCGCGCGCCACTCGTCGCGCAACGAGCGCGCGAACTCGTCGACCGACCGCACGGCCTGCGAGTACGACTCGGACGACTCCGAGAACAGCATCGCGTCGAGGACCGCGGGGGGCGGCGCGACGCGATCGGAACGCGACCCGTCCGACGGCCACGCGTCCCGCGTAGACGCGGCGGCGGCTTCGTCGTCGTCCTCCCCTCGCGCGAAGACGCGGTCCACGAGCTCCTTCGCGAGCTCCGGCATCGTCGCCGCGGCGTCGAACAGCGTCGCGCGCAGCCCCGGCATCTCCCGGTACACCTTCACCGACGTCCTGAGCTGCACCTCCGCGCGCATGGCGTCGAACGCGGCGCAGGCGGCCACCGTCGCCAGCGGCGCCGTCTGAGGGTCGGGACGGGCGTTCGGGGGCGCGTCGGTCGGAGTTGAAAGGCAAAGGCGTCGCGTCGCGGCGTGTCGGGATCGAAACCGAGGGGTGGGCGGAGAGTGACGATGGCAAAAGTCAGTCCTCGAGGAACCGCGCGCACCGCGCGAACGCGGTCAAACGGGGGGGACGAGTGTCAGAACAGAACGCACCTCGCACACGCACGGCCGCAGAAACAACGCGAGCACGGGCAGCGACGCGCCCACGAGCGGCGCGTTGAGCTTCGTGCGTCTGAGCCGCTCGTCGCTGTCGCCGCCGCCGCGACCGCCAGGATCGCGATCGCCGCGGCGAGCGTGTTGTTTGCCTGGTTTACCTCGCTTTTCATCATCGGCGGCGGCGGCGGCGCGCGGCGGGCTCGGCCCCGGCCCCGTCGACTCGCGCGGCGCCGGCGACGACGTCGACGACGCGAAGCCGTGCGCCGCCCGCGCGAAGACGTCAGCCTCTCGCGCCGCCGCGTGCGCCACCGCGACCTCCCTCAGCGCGCGCATCTTCTCCACCATCATCTCGCGCTCGCCCACCTCGAACGGCGGCCCCGGCGGGACGTCTCTGAAGACGTTTAAGACGCCGTCGGCGGTTTTCACGAGCTCGTCGGCGCAGTGCCTCTCCGCGCGGACGTGCGACTCGAGCATCGCGACGAGCCCCGCGCGCTTCGCGTGGCGGTACCGCGCGCCGACGCGCTCGGCGACGATCTCCGCGAGCGCGGAGCTCGGGAGGTCGCGCCATCGCGTCGCGCTCGGCGAAGCGTTCGGGAGCGCGCTGAGCGGGGTCGTCGCGGGGGCGGCGGCGTCGGGGGCGTCGCGACGCGCGGCGCCCTTCGACTTTTTCTTCGCGGGCGCGACGCTTCCTCCTCCGTGTCCTCCTCCTCCTCCTTCTCCACGTCCACCTCCTCCTCCTCGCGTCGTCCCTTCGCGTCCCGGGGCGTCGGTCGCGGCGGTGGCGCCGCCCGAGGGCGGCGGCGAGCGCGCGCGCTTCTTCGCCTTCGGTTTCGCCATGGCCCGCGACGACGCCGCCCCGCGCGATCGATGCGGGCACCCCCCCGAAGCGCGCCTCGCCTCGCCCGTGTCGAGGTTTCCGCGGTCGATAGATAGCGCGCGCCTCGCGGAAGCTCGGATACGCCGCGCGCGCCTCGCGCGAACGCTGCCCGCGTCGCGGATCTCGCGGGCGTGCCTCTTCGCGAGCTCGCGTCGCCGCGAATGACGACGACGCGCGCGCGTCGCTCGTCTCTGCCAGCGCGGGGGGGGTGCCTCGACGTGCGAGGTCAAAGTTTGACAGTGTTGATTTTCCGAGGAGGCGCTTCGGGACGGTGAACGGGTCGCGCGCGGGTCAGTTTTTATGTTCACCCTACGGCGCGCGCGTTCAAATGCACACTCCCCGGTTTCAACTGATCGAGCTTCTTCGCATGACACACGGACGCGGATCGCGCCTCTTATCCCTCCGCGGATCGCGACGGGTAAGAAAGCGAGCGTCCCCACATGCCCCGGCGCACAGCTCGCTCGTCGCGTCGGCACGATGAGCGCGCTCGCGTCCGCGTGGGTCCCTCCGACCCGCGTGCGCGCGCGACGCGAGAAGACCCCGCGCGAGCCCGGGACGACGCGATGCGTCGCGCGCGAGCGGCGCGACGCGGTGGGCGCGGGCGGGTGGGCGGGAAAGTCGTCACCTTCGGAAGAGCGGGAATCGACATCGACTTCGACGCGCGCGCGATGGATCGTTCGTCCGTCGCGTCGCGCCGCCGCCGCCGCCGCCGCCGCCGCCGCCGCCGCGCGCGCGCGCCGACGCCACCGCCGCCTCCCTTCGCCGCCGAGCGCGTCGTTCGTCCCGGACGAGTCCACGGACGACGAGCTCCCGGCAGCGCGGTCGTGCGTCTACAGCGATAAGTTCGTCTACAACTCCTGCGACGGCGACGGCGTCGCGCACGGAGACGAGGGAAACGAGCTCGAGGCGGCGCTTCTCATCACCGGGACCGCGGTCGGCGGCGGGTCGCTCGCGCTGCCGTACTTCACCGCGGCGGGGGGGTTCCTCCCCGCGCTCGGCCTCCTCGGCGTCGCGTACGCGCTGTTGTTGGGGTCCTCCGTCGTGCTCGTCGAGCCGACGATCCGAGTCTGGGAAGATAATCCAGACCGCGCGGTGTCCATGCACACGGTCGTGGACACCTACCTCGGTGAGCGATGGGGCTGGGCCGCGGGGGTCACGTTCTGGATCTTGATAAACTGCACCTTGGTCTCGCAGCTCGCGCAGTGCGGGAACATGACGACGTTGTTCTTGCCCTTCGCCGACGGCGCGGCGTGGCAGCGATTCGGGAGCGTCTTCGCCGCGTTCGTCATCGCCGGCGCGAGCTTCCGAAAGTACGTCGGGAAGATAAACGCGTTCGCGACCGCGGGGTTGTTCGCCGCGTTCGCCGCCGCGTGCGTCGCGGGGGCGCCGGGGATCTCCGTCGGGACGCTCCTCACGGCGAACGCGACCGCCGCGATTCCCGCGCTGCCAGCCATCATGCAGACGATGACGTACGGAGAGGCGATTCCCACCGTCGTCGACATGTGCCGCGGGAGCCGGACCAAGGTGAAGAAAGTCCTCGCGTTCGGGTCGTTGGGTCCCGCGGTCATGTACGCGCTGTGGCTCGCGGTCACGCTCGGGAGGAAAGAGCTCGCCGCGTTCGGGGCGACGGGCGGGGACCTCGCCGGGAAAATTTTATCCGAGGGGGGTTGGCTCGGCGCGGCCACCGGCGCGATCGGCGCGTTCGCGTCCGTGAGCACGCTGATCGGGTGTTACCTGGCGCTGTCGCGGTTCAACGCGGACACGTTCGAGCTGCCGCTGAACGAGGGGTGCAGAAAGCTCATCGCGCTGACCGTTCTGCCGAGCCTCGCGCTCGCGGTGATGGGGGGGCCGGGGCTGTATTTTCTCATGATTAAGTTCGCGGGCACCGTCCCCGTGGCGTTTCTGTGGGGGGTGATGCCGCCGCTCGTGGCGTGGACGATGCTGCGGGGGGATGGGAAGCTCACCCCGGCGTGGAGAGCGGTGCTGGGGGCTGGGTTTTTAGGGAGCGTGATCGCGATGGTGATCGGAATACGAACGATGTGATTGACGGACGGACGAGCGTTCAAAGGGGGGGAGGGTCAAACGCGCCAGCCCCCCCGATAAGGTCACTCCCTACACAAACGTCGACGACGGACCATTCATTCTTTAATACTATTACAAAGGGCACGGTCGGACAGATGAAGAATACTGTACTGTATCATCATCGTCACTCATCGCTCACCGTCCACGCGCGCGCGCTCACGCCTCCGTCGGCCAGCGCCTCTCGCTCGGCGTCCTCACCGCGCCGTACTTTTCCTGGATGTCCGCCCGCTTCGGGTTGTACCCCCACGACGTCTTCGCGCCCTGGCCCGCGAACCCGTAGTATTTGTACCAGTTGTACGTCTGGTGCGCGGGGAGGGACTTGTACCGCGACTGCGACCTCCCCGCGGCGTCGTCGCGGGGCGCGACGACGCGGACGGTCGCCCTCGGGCGCGGCGGGTCGTCGGCGGCGTCCTTCGTCCGCGGCTTTCTCGCCGCCGTCGTCGCGGGAAGCGCGGTGACGAGGTCAACCTCCACGGTCCGTCGCGACGTGCCCACGACGTGCGACGACGACGACGGGTTCTTCTTCGCTCCCGCGCCCGCGCCTGACGCCGCGGGTCGTCGCATCGCCGGCGCGGCTCCCACGGGGTCGTACCCGCCGCCGCCGCCGAGCCCGCGCCGCGTCGTCGTCGTCGTCCTCTCGGATCCTCCTCCGCCGCCGCGGCCCGCCGGCGCGATGATCGGTTTGCTCACCATCTTGTCCGCGTTGAGGAACGCCTCGCGTCTGCGCGCGGAGAGCGCCATCTGCCGCGCGATGACCGGGTTAGGATGCGGCGGTTTCGTCGTCTTCGCCCTCGTCGCGGCGGCGGCGGTTTCCTTCTGTTCTCTCCGCGCCGTCGCCGCCGGCGCGGCGCGGCGCGGCGCGGGCGCGTCGATTATAGATCGGGACCGCGGCGGCGCGACGCGCGGGAAGAGGCTCGTCGGGATCGTCGCGGGCGGCGCTTTCGCTGGCGCCGCCGCGCCGAAGCCGTTCAGGGATGGCGGCGGCGGGAGCGACGCCGCTCCCGCCGCGCGAGACGCGGGCGCGGGCGCTCCCGCTCCCAGCGGCGGAAGCGACGACGCGCCGCCGACGCCGCCGACGCCGATGGGTCTCAGCGACGCGACGCCGTTGGCGGGCGGCATCGGAAGCGGCGCGGGCGCCCGCGGCTCCGGCGCGCGCCAGCCCGGCTGCGACGACGTCGACGTCCGCGACGCCGACGACGGTCGCTCCGACGACGACGCCTTATTCGCCGCGGGAGGGGAGAACACCGTCGGGTTGTAGCTCGGCATCGGCGACGGCGGCGCGGTCGACCGCGGGGAAGGGTCCGCGCGCGACCATTCCGCGGAGGACTGCGCGATGGAGATCTCGTCCTCGATGTCTTCCATCTCGATATCGCTCGGGACGAACCCCCCGTCGTCGCTCATGACGACGACGAAGTTTTCCTCGATTTATTCAAATTCTCCCACCGGGCACGACGGCAGGGCGTTTCGCGCGCGTCGCGCGATTCCCAGGACGCCGCGGACGAAACGAGGGCGCCGGCGACGACGCTCGAGCACCTCCGAGCGGCGATGAACGACGTTCCCACGCGCGCGTCGACGGCGCGTCGGAGAGTGTGAGCCAGCGGTCAACGCTTCCCGTCCTCGTCTCCGCCGTCGAAGTTTTCTCGGACGCGCCGCGCGCGCTTCACAGAATCCGATCCTGAGCTCGCGGTCCGGGCGAGGGCGAGCCATTCGGGCGCCGCGCGCGGCGGAGTCGCCATGCGCGCGTTCGCCGCGGCGTCGACGGCGGGGCCGTGCGCGCGGTGGGTCCTGACCTCGGGTCCGCCGCGACGAAGAAGCGTCGCGCGCGTCGCCGCGGCCGCGCGATGGCGGCGGGCGTCGCGCGCGGAGACCGTCGGCGTCGCGTCGTCGTCAAAATCGTCGTCGTCAAAATCGTCGTCGTCGTCGTCGTCGACTACCGCGGACGACGACGCGTCCGCGGCGTCCGCGGCGGCGAAGGAGGCGTATCGCGCGAAACGCGCGGCGCGGAAGGACTTCTACAAGTCGAGGTCGACGCTGACGCGCGCGCTCGACGCGGAGCGAGCCGGCGACGCGACGCGCGCGCTCGCCATCGCGCGCGACGGCCTCGCGTCGTCTCCCGATAACGCGCACCTCGCGACGACGACCGCGCGGCTCGTCGTGGCGTGCGCGACGGGCGGCGACGGCGGCGGCGGCGGCGGCGGCGCGGACGCCGCCCCGGAGGACGCGATCGCGGAGGCGACGGAGATCCTCGCGCGCGCGCACGAGGCGCATCCGACGAACGCGGTGATCCTGCAGGTGTGGGCGACGATGGAGGCGCGGCGCGCGACGGCGGGGGATCCGCGCGCGGCCAAGTCGGCGCGCGATCTCTTCGCGCGGTCGCTCGCGATCGATCCCGCGCACGCGCCGTCGCTCCACGCGTGGGCCGTCTTCGAGCGCGGGCGCGGGCGCGTGAGCAAAGCGCGGAGGCTCTTCCGCGACGCGGTTCGCGCGGAGGGCTCGAGCCCGCGCGCGTCGACGCTCCAAGCCTGGGGGTGCCTCGAGGCGGACGCGCGTCGATACGTCGAGGCTCGGAAGCTCTTCTCCGCGGCGACGAAGCTCGACGCGACGCACGCGCCGACGTGGCAGGCGTGGGCGCAGATGGAGGGCAAGCTCGGGAACGTCGCGAAGGCGAGCGCGGTGTTCAGGGAGGGCGAGGAGGCGACGCGGGACGCGACGCGAGGGTTGCGGGTTCGAAGCGGCGGCGGCGGCGACGCAGCTGGCGGCGGCGCGTCGGCGTCGTCCCTTCTCGCGCGCTCTTCGCTTCTCTCCACCATGGCGCATCACGAAGTCCGTCGCGGCAACTCCACGGGCGCGTCCACGCTGTCCCTCGCGCGCACGCTCTTCCGCGAGAGCGTGGACGCGTGCCCCACGAACGCGGCGGCGTGGGTGCTGTGGAGCGACGCCGAGGAGGTGGCGCTCCGCGGCCGCGACGCGGGGGAGCACCGCACCGGCGTCGTCGGCGGCGGCAGACGCCGCGCCTCCGCGGCCGCGGCGCGACGACTCGCGGTGATCGACGAGGGGTTGTCGCACTGCCCCGGGAACGCGCGGCTGTTGCACGCGCGCGCGCTGGCGATGAAGACGGGGGGGGATTTAGAGGGTGCGATGCGCGCGTTGAGGGCGTTGAGCGCGGCGCACGGGCGGAGCCCCGCGACGTGGCACGCGCTCGGGACGACGGCGCAGGAGCTCGGGGAGTTTGAAACCGCGATCGCGGCGTTCGAGACCGGGGCGAGGTGCGATGAGCGCGCGCTGAACCTGCCGGC